TACAGAAATGCCCTCTACAGGGCACATGGTCCCTGTAACCTTCTCTGTGCTGGATAACACACGGAGACACTCTCCCCTTTTCTTTGGCCTGAAAACCTCCTAATATCTCCACTCTGAGGCTGTCCTGACCGCTCCTCTCCTGGGGCACTTCCCGTTCTGAGTTATAGTCACCTGGGCAGCTTTGTGACCCATCAGACAGAAGCCCCTGGGTCCTGAGTGTCTGGCATGCTAGTAAAGGCAATAATAAGTACTCAGAAAGAAAGTTACTAAATTAACTAAATCAATATTTTTTTACTACCAAAGAGAAGAAAACCTTGCTAAATTGGTGCCGAATTAACTTTCAGATGTGAAAGTTATTAAGTAAACACATCAGAAGATGTAGAAACTCTCAAATGCAATAAATCAGTAAAGGGGGCCCGACTGAGCTGATGTAGAAGTTACAGACCGATGAGTCTGGGAGGGAGTGTTCTTCCCCATTTTGATCTTTTTCCTGAAAATGACTTCTTGCCTACATTTATTTGACACATGGCGGGGAGATTCAGTTTAAAATAGAGTTTTCTTGGTTTTACTTTGAGACTGATCACTTTTTCCATCATCAGGTTTTGCTGGTTTCTAACAAACTGACAAAAACTAGTCAACATAAAGACACCAGAGCTCTTTGGGTTTGGTGTCTTGCAGTTCCATTTGGTAATGGAAACTGAGAACATCTGAAGTACGACAATTAGAAAATGTATTATCATGATGGTACTGTAAATTTAATATGCCAAACACAGAAGCTTTATCAGCAAATCAACTTTATATACTTTTAAAAAGCAAACGAGGGGCGCCTGGGTGGCTCAGTCAGTTGGGCGTCCAACTTCCGCTCAGGTCATGATCTCGCGGTTCTTGAGTTCGAGCCCCGTGTCGGGCTCTGTGCTGACAGCTCGGAGCCTGGAGCCTGCTTCGGATTCTGGGTGTCCCTCTCTCTCTCTGCCCCTCCCCTGCTCACTCTCTCTCTCTCTCTCTCCCTCGAAAAATAAACATTAAAAAATAAATAAAAGTGAAACTAATCTCGCCAAAACTTCTCCTTTAAAGCTACATTTTAATGTTTAATTTTAGCTCTTTATTCTTGTCCCCCTTTCTCTTCTTGTTCTCTACCACATGAAAATGCCTGTCTCTATTCCAATCAACATCACTGTCTGATGAGGTGGGATCCCAGGCCCCTGAAGACCGAAGGTCATGCTGGAGCACGCTCTGGCCCAGGAGCAGGACCAGCGCGGGGCAGCACCCACCTGTAGCCCACCTTGCGGGCGTAGTGCAAGCAGTTCTCCTTCACGTGGGTCTGGAAGTAGGCCGAGCGACAGAGGGCCCCGCACTCCGGGCAGCAGTAGGGGGACTTGTGGGCGTGGATCCGCTGGTGGGCACAGAAGCTGCACTGGTTGGGCAGCAGCATCTGGCACACCTGGCAAGTCTAAGAGAAAACACCAAGAAAGCCGTTCACGCAGGTGCCGCAGGCTCACGGCTCTCCAAGCACCGCGGTCTGGCTCCCCTGCAGCGTGGGTCAGAACAGCCCCCTTCTCCCTCCGGGCTCTCCTCCCACCCTCCTAGGACACTCGGGGCCCCTGGGCCTCGTGACAGGTGTCGACCTGTCGCCCAAGCAAGCTTCGCCTCTCACCTTATTCGTCAGAGACAGCACTGACGCTACATTCCCACAGACCAGTCCCGCTTCTAGGACTGCGAGTGTTTCTTCCCTCAGGCTGAGCAGAAGACCAGCTTTTCCCCTCCAGAGGCCAAAGGCGCTTCCCGAAGCCTCAGACCCCACTACGCTCCCAGAAACGCCAGGGCCTCCGCCCTTGCTCAGCAGAGGCAGTTCCTGCGTGACACCGCTAGCCCATTCAGGGACTTCCAGAGCAGACCTGATTGGCTCTCGGAAGCCCCCGGGCCAGGCGGCCGAGTGGCCTTGCCAGCGCCCACTCCCTCGGTCGGGTTTGCCCGCTCAGGGGTGTCCTGAGCCACAGCCGACCACACACACCTGCAGGAAAGGGCAGGACGGGCGACGGCTCCTTCGCTCCCAGACTCGGGAGAGAACCTGGGGGGGGAAAAGTCCTGCGGCCGCCCCCTGACGCCCTCGTGGGCACAGCCCCTCTAGTGGGCACAGCCCGGGGGAAGCAGCAGACTGAGCTGGCGCCCGAGGCAGGGGCCCTTCTGGGTCGGAAGGAAGGTGCAGCACTCGCTCCTTGCTGAGGCGGCCACTGACCTGGGCCCAGAGCTGTTCAGAGGGCCAGGTCGTTGGGGAAGACAGGAAAAGCAAAATCCAGAATGTGGAGCCTCGAAAGGACATACCACCCAGTTTTTTCAACAAATAGATTTCAAGGGAAAAACAGAGAGAGAAAGGGAAGTTACAGATTAAAAGAAGTTTAAGAGAAATTTTCAAATCGCAATGTAGAGCACTTATTTGGATCCTGATTCAAGCAAGCCAACTGTAAAAGAAATGAGACAATCAGAGATACTTGAACACTAACTCGGTGATAATATTGGGAAGTTTGACATTTAATATTAAAGTCTGATAATAAGAAGAAATTATCATTATGATTAATTTTGAGATGTGATGATATCATGTCTATGGTTTGGGGGGAGGAACCTCATATTTTATAGATACATACTGAACTATTATAGATATGGTGATGCTGGCATTTGTTTAAAAATAATCCGGGGGGGGGTTAGAAAATACATAAAACAAGATGGACCAGGAGTTGATAATTGTTAATACAGGGTTCGTTATGCCATTCTGTCCACTTTTATATGTGTTTGGGACATTCCATAATAAAAAGGCTTTAAAAAAATTTTTTAAGTATTACTTTAGATGTAGAACAGTAAATAAGTAAGCTGCACCCTTCTGTGTAAGAGACGGAGGAAGATGACCTCTCTCACACACACACACACACACGCACATGCACACGCACAGACATACTGATACGTATTTGTAAAACAGAGCCATGGAGAGATAAACCAAAAGTGAACAGAAATGGTTACATATGGGGCAGGAGGGAACAGAGTGAAAGGGACAGAGACAGAAGCAAGACTTCAGGGTGGACTCTGTCATACAGTTTTTAAGTTTGGAATCACAAAAATGTTTTACATAGTTTTAAAATAATAAAAAATTAAACTAAGTAAACAAAAGCATTCCCTAAAAATTGAAAATCAGAAACTAAATAATCTAACAATGTATCAAGCTGGTGACATAACCACATAGAAAAAAATAACTGTTCCCAGTGTGACCTTTAAAACACAGCATTGGGGCGCTTGGGTGGCTCAGTGGGGTAAGCATCCAACTTCGGCTCAGGCCGTGATCTCACAGTTCGTGAGTCTGAGCCCCGCGTCAGGCTCTGCACTGATAGTTCGGAGCCTGGAGCCCGCTTCAGATTCTGTGTCTCCCGCTCTCTCTGCCCCTCCCCCCCCCCAAAAACAAACGTCCAAAAAATTTTAAACACAGCATATTGACTTATACATCTTAATGTGATCTAAGAGCAAAAAGAACTGGAAACACATCTTCAATTTTATTCAGTTGTTCTGACATTAGAAATAATATTGGTATTGATATTTTGAAATTTATGTGTATGTGTGTGTAGTAGGAAAATCAGAGGAACCAAGATTTTCCGTATAAAATCAGTTACGTAAAAACTCTAATTTGGGGCACCTGGCCAGCTCAGTTGGTAGAGCACACGACTCAATCTCGGGGTCATGACTTCAAGTCCCACGTGGAGTGTAGAGACTACTTAAAGAAATAAAACTTTAAAAATACATACATACTAACAACCATACAATAAAAAAAACATACACTTCTTAGCTCAGGCCACAGCAAAAGCCTAGTAGCAGATGTACCCAGCGAGCACCTCTGGCGTCCAGAAGGGGACTCCTAAGCACCATTCCTCACTTCAAGAACCCTGGTTCCTCAGAAGGATGGCCGACTCCTAGTTTAGCACAAGAAACGTGCCCAGTACATCTTTTGGGGGCTGAAAGTAAGGAAGCTTCTCAGGCTTTACGAGTTCACGTCCAGAGGGTGCAGGAACCAGCCTGACGGGGCCCCACAACCAAAGACGTGGAAAAGTGACTGACCCCAACATACCAAACATGTGAAAACCACTGCTTCCATGACAACGGCAGGGGAGGCCACCTCACACCCACTAGGATGCCTCCCGTCAAAGGCAA